CAGATGTCACTGATCTCTCCTAGGATATCTGTCCATAAACCCAAAATGAACTTTCAAATCAATACACCTCTTTATCCTGAATGATAGCATGTAACCCAGCTATCAAATTCTTTTTGTCTGAGGTTGTCACTTCCGCTTCAACAGGAGTTTTGCCCTTGTAAAAGCAGTGGGCACAAATGAGATCTTGCATTTGCTATTTGTGTATTCTATAATACAGTGAGATTACTTGCCAGGAGATAAAGCATTAAAGATAGACTCATCACTTAACATTAGGTTTGGATATTTTTGGTCCCACAGACAAATAGATGAGATCAAACTCAACGCTCACTAAATATATATCTTGCCTTGAATAGCTGTTAAAGTCTAAAATTAAAATAAATCCTGCATATATAAAATAGAAGTGGAATGTGGAAGCTGTAGCTTTTCTTCTCTTACAGTACTGAAACGGTTAAGGATTTTTTTTTTTTTTTTGAAGAACTTTAGAGGCACAATGGAGAAGCACAGAAGCATAAATCTGAAGGTTAAATTTGTATTGGCTTTGCTCCTCCTTCCCATAGGAGCACAGATGGTAAAAACCTTAAAGCTACCCCTGCTATTACCATGGAATAAATGAATTATCAGGTTTCTCCCTCACAATGCTAACTATGGAAGGCGCGCCTTCCTACTCACATCATGATCAAGATTATTTAAATGAAGAACTGCTGTTTATTTGATTTTAAAAAGGGGGAAAAAGAAAAAGATCTCTAAAGGACCTGGATCACCCTTTGGACTTGGGGCAATACCTTCCACACAGTTGCCTAAAGCTGCAAAGCCAGCCAAGCCCACTGGATTTCTAAAATGATACAAGGCTCTCTCTGCCTCAGCTTCGGCTTCAAAGAAGGGCTGCTTGTTTGTTGTGGTGCTTGCAAAAGAGGCGTACCTGAGAAGTGGCATTCCTAGAGGGAAGGCAGAGAAAAAAGAAATCTGCCTTGCATATCATTTCCTGGGAAGAGAGCTAGTCAATGTGAGGGATAATGAAAACAAGGCAATACAAAGCACTAAGAAATGTACTGCAGGGACATATTCTCTCTGATGCTATGATTAAAATTATCCTTTGGAAAAGATGAACTCCACTCTGCTCGTGCTTCTGCAAGTCTTCATGCACAACTTAAGACCACTTTAACTAACATTAAGACTCTGATAGGCTTCAGGAAAGCATCTCTCTTCACAGAGCATATAAGCAATTAAAGTAGATGAAACTGGGATTTCAGCTGATGTTAAAACATGGATGAAACAAAATCAGGATTTAAACCCCTGAGCCACTATTTTTGCTCAAAGTCAGTGAAAAAGGGAGCAGATTGTGCAAACTCAGGGACATGGGTTCTACCTAAATGAAATTACCATTTGAGCCCAAAGATTAAAGTGAGCATTAGTTCTTGTGTGTACTACCTAAAATGACTTAGTAATTTTGATCATCTGTTATGAACCCGCTATATAGTGAGATTTCAAAAAAATAAGTGCTGGAATTTCTTTGTTTGTTTTTGAGCTCTGGACTTATAGAGATCGTATTTGCAAGCTATTCTCCACAACAAAAAAGCTACATAACCAGCTAGCCAACCCAAGCCAAAATTCTTATGCAATTGCCTTATTCCAAGAGCTGTGGCTTCATGAACAATTTAAAGAATCACAACTTGACAGGAGGTGGTGGCAACAATGAAAACCCGCAAATATGTTTGCTTCTATAGGTTCTGTGAAGGTGACCCTACTTGGTGAATACTGAACTCGGTATTAATAGTGACAAAGAGTAACAGTTCATTTCTCTTCAATGTTATTATGGGGCATGCCTGCAGAGTATTGCTGCTGTATGTTGAGCGTGTGGAGAGGACGTACCCTGCTTTCTGGGTGGAACTCTGCCCTGATATGTCCTCATGTATGAAATTAATGGGGTTCTGCTGGGTAGGTGAGTTACAGTTTGAGGTGTCAATGAGATAGGAGCTTACAGAAATGCAAGTTTATCTTTAAAAGAGGTTTTTTTAAAATCTAAAAAAAAGATTTGTTTTTCTTCAGTCAAATCAGATATAGGTCCCATTTCCCTTTAATTGCCACAGTATATAATTTGGAAAATATTAGTCATGCTTCTTTCAAAAATACAAGTAGGGAAATTACATGAGCACTGAAGCATTCAGATGTAAGTGATATCATTAAAAAATAGCAGAAATACAGTAAGGAGAAAATTAACAGTTAGTTGTTCTCTTCAAAAAAGTTCAGCAAAATTATGAAATACTTCCTGAGTTATGAATTTAGTCATTTGTGCAGCATTATTTGTACAAATAAAAGTAAGTTATTGCATGATTGAATAACACAATTAGATTTTTACTGTTGAGTTCTATTGAGCCATTTTACACCCACTGTCTGCAGTACAGGAACAGTCCCAACCAAACAGGGTTTCCAGGGATCAGTACCTGGAAGTACATCCAAAAACCAGGAGGACTGGAGGGAGCTCATCTGCTGACAACCAACACAGGTGACCTGACAAAGGGAAGCAGATTAATTTTAGTGCAATAGAGACTGTATTTTGCTTCATACCTTTGGGGAATAGGTATGTCTTTCTGCACAAGCATACTTCTCTGTGTGTGTTTGTACGACTGGCGTAAGGTTTTGGCCAAGGCCTGTGAGCCAGCTCCTTCTGCGTCTCCGCTCCCTTCGTTATTTGACACCAAGGCTTCTCTGGCTCATGGAAACAGGACCTCTGTTTAGTCCCAGAAGTCCAAAAAGGAGAGAAGTCATGAGCAGCAATGAAGACAAGGACCACCGCTGTGTGGACTCCTAGTGCAGGCAGAAGAACGGGTAAAACATCCTTTCCATCCTGAGATGAGTGCTTCTAATACCACCGGGCTTCATGGAGGCCAAACAAAAAGCAGGATGGGAGACAGAAGTACTCTCAAAAGTAGTGGCTCTTTTGGTTATATTTCTTGTTATATACCTCTCTGCAACTGAATTTGCAGCAAACCCCCAGTCGTACCCTTGTGTTCTGCAACCTTTAAGGCTAGAAGAGCAGCAGGAGGAGCAGTTCTCTCCTCACATTTAGCTCCCAAGAGCTAAACCCTACCGCTTTCTGGGAAACATGACCTGCTGGCTGGCAAAGTGCCGCCACTGCACTAACACGTATGAAGCCCCACATCACTTAATAGCGTTAGTAGGCAAAGCTGCTGAAAAAAAATACACCGGAAGCTTGTCAGAAAGAAAGCAAAAAATAGTAAGAGGAGGACAGCAGGAGCTTGGGGAACACCATTTAACCCTACGGAATAAAAAATTCTTAATGGCTTAAAAATAACATTACACCTCTATCAAAAGTGGAATTTGAACAATGGATCCTTAAGGGAGATAGCAGAACAGCAACACAGAAGGGACAGAGGAGGGGTAGCAAGTGAGAGGAATAAGAGGGAGAGAATACAGGGCACTCTGTCAGACTATCCAGGGTCAGACAGGACAACGTCCTGGATTCCCACCTTCACATCCCAGTCTGAACTCTGCTGTAATAGCTCACACACAGGCAAAGCTCAGCCACAAATGGCCAAGCACATGACTTGGACAGACAACAGGTAAATACCGAGCACCAAAGCAGAGCATGAAGGAGGGAAATGCACTTGTCCAAGAAGAGGCATCAAAGGCAACATGAGGCGTATGGATGGTATTTCCATAGTCCTTAGAATGAGCTTGCTTGGGAGAGTTTTAAGTCAGTATAATCAGACATAAAAAGGAAGAAAAGCCACAGCCTCCACCTGAGGACTACCGTACTCTCTGTGGGAGCACTTCGTTATATTGAGCCAGGGGAAGAGCAGGTTAATCCTCAAAACAGAGATAATCTATCTTGAGGAAGACAGCATCTGTAAGGAGGGTGATGAAGTTTCATTCATTTTGTTATGAATATTAAAAATAAAAAGTAATAACCATAATAATCACTTGCAGACAAAATTCCAGCTAAATGCCTTCAAAATAGCTGCACCATGAAAAAAGCCAAATGGAAAAGGCTACACAGAATAAACCAAAGGCTTGCATTTGCGTTGGTCAAGTAAGAGGAGAAAAAAGGATTCAGAGCATTATCAAATTTCACAGAACACATAGAATTATTTTTCCCTGAATATAATTCATTGAAAGACAGAGTAGGTTCAGTGCTGTAACACTCACTCACCATTACGTTTGTCAAATGCTATTTGCCCAGCCCTTTGTTTCATCATGATGTCTTGTCCTGTCTGATTTCGTGCTTTCTGTATATTTCATTTTCTGTGATAAAAGCCTGAAAAAGTGTTTGTGGAGCGTTTCATGCAAACATTCTTCACCTTCCTTACCTACGGGACTTGCTCTATTGCGGGTCTTGGATTGACATTGTTTACCCTTCAGTATTCACTGACGTATTTTCTGGCACCCACAGTGTCACAGAGCCCTAAAAGGCAATGTGAATTACTGCCAGAGCAGTGTAACAGCACCATAATCTTCATGAGAATCCAGACCTTTGTATTTCCACTGTTGTTTGTTTATTGTTTCCCAGATTTTTTTTTTAATGTAACACCTAGTGCGGGAGGAGGATGCTTTACTGCAGGGCAATTTTGTTTCTGTCTCTACTGGGTTTTGTTTGGTCCTATTTATAAAATAGCCTGTCCCCTTGTAGACTCCATACAGGTCTCGTCCCCTTAAAAAAAAAAATCAGGATGCAGCCACATCTACTGTTTGCTAGTAGCTTGTGAGGGGGACATGGCAGCTATTATCTACAAAATTATTTTAACTAGTTATTTTTCTCACAGAAGGAAAGATGTGATCTAATAGTATGAGCACTAAACTGGGAACTCTGATTTCTCAACAAAGTGCTAATATCAAAATCCTCTCTAGCCTTGAGCCAGTCATTTCGTTGCTCTTCTTCAAGATCCCCATATGTAAAACATAAATGATATTTACGTACCTCATCGAGGTGTTGTGAACTGCATTCCCACTTCACATCATTCTGCTCACTTATCCCTCCAGTTTGATAGCTACAGTTTTTAAAAGATAATGCTCCTATTTAAAGAGGAAAGGGATTTCAGATTAATGGAAGTGATGGCTCTTTGCATTTGAAAGCAGACTGTCCTTTTAGCTCCAGCGGTGCTGATTTACCCTGGCAGATTGTAGGCTTTACCTGCAACAAAAAAAGGGACACAGAAACCATTACAAATTATTTCCCTGACAGATCTTGGGGCAAATTCTAACCCTGGCTGGTGAATGTCACCCACCAGAGTCTCCTGAGCACATTAAAAAAAGAAAAAATGTTTCCAGCGTGTCCTTATTCCTCCTGATTGCTTATCGCCAGCCAGCAACTGAAAAGGCAGTGGGAGTTGGTGGAGTTTTGAACAACCTCACCCAGCCAGAAGCCTATGTATGTGCACATGTAAGCTGAAGCCCCAGGCGTACCTCCAGGTTGATAAGAACCATGCTCCAGCACTTGAACTTGCACACGCCTTTGGGAGTTAAGGCCTCGAGAATTCTCAGGCAGCAGTAATAACTGTCCCATACAAGACATTTTGAATCCTGCTGTTCTTCTTTTACTCCTGGGCCACAGTCAACAATACGCAACTGGGCGTTCAAACGGGAGGACTCTGTCCTCATATACGTTGGATTGAACAATTCATTGTTAACGAGGAGAACTGAACTTTGTTCTTCCTTCCCTGCCATGTACAGTTACCTCACCTCCACCCCAATCAAAGGCCCACTCTAATAGATCGTCAGTAGATATTTGTCATTAGAAATTCATTACTGGGATTCCCCTTTGATATATACATTGAAAAATCACTTTGCCCCCTCCTCCTACAATTAATTTGATATGCAGTTATGGTTGAGTAGGCCGTGAGCCTCATTGGCCCGCTGCGTGAGAAGTAAGGTCACAGCAATTATTCAACCATTAGTAAAGCATGTTACTTTTCTCTTTTTTCTTCCCCTTTCTCCCTAAGTCTCAGAGAAGGTACAACACCTAAAGTGCTTAATAATCATCATCTATATATTGGATTTTTTTTCTGCCTAGTATCAAATGCTTTGACCTCATCTTTACCTCAGTCAATAGATCCTGATTTCAGTCTCTAGAGAAATTAGTGTATGCTAATTATGATCACCTTCATCATGATGGAGACCTTGTTATGACACACTGAAACACTGACTTCCAAAGAGAAGAGTAAAATTGTGTCCATGCAGACATGGGGTTCCCTTTTGAAAACATATGGTGCGAATTTTCTGCAGATGAAAGGCAGCCCTCCATGGAGACATTTGCCTGGAAAAAAAAAAAAAAAAAAAAAAATCAGCCCTGTATGGCTGTCAGCTGTGAGACCCAATGCCACAGGCTGCAGCTGCTAACATACTATTTGCAAATAGCAGCTGATGTAGGAAAACATGATGCCCTGCTAAAACCTTCACACTTTCCTCAGTGCAGTTGCTGGAGTCCCACAGCATTCCTTGCTTTGGGGAGGAGGAGGACAGGCTGATAACCAAAAGCAGATTGGGTGTACCAGGGCTGTATTTTGGCAATCTGGCTGTTCATCTTGCTATCCATGTCATGACAGCACTGAGGGTGAAAGATCGGGCAGCACAGACAGAAAGAAAAGAAAGTGCCTCAGGCTGAGCAGAGCCGAGGGACTATGCGGAGGAAGAGTGGGAACTTCAGGCTGCCAGGACAGCAGAAAAGCAAACTAAGAAGCAGAAATAAGACAGATTCAACTGTTTCGGCAAGGACACCAAACCAAAGAGCTGAGCGGGATACTGGGATGTGACGCAGATGTGTACGTGCACTCACTATCCTGCAGACACCCGTCAGCTCAGGGTGAATCTGCTGGCCTGGCAGGACACCAAGGAAACCACGTTCACCCAGCTTCAAGAAGGCTTGCAGTACAGGCAAAGTTCAGTAGCATCTGCTTGCAAAAGCCCACATAGACATATGCTAACATCACCGCAGATGTCTACACATCTGTTACTTGTCTATGCAGTAAAATTCAGGGCTACAGAGACAGCTGAGGGAGCTCCGAGAAAACTTGCCTGGTACGTAGAAGGACTTGGTTAGAAACTCTGTTAGCACCACTGTATTATCTGGCACCTGCACAAACTCAGTTAAGTCTCACTTGGGTGTACTTGATCTGGCACTGTGCTTTGCAAAGATGTGCTTTAGGTTATTCCCAAAGAACAGAGAAAAAATCTAGTTCCTCATGGCACCAGTCAGCTCCTTTTTAACCCACAAAAACTTCATTTCCATTCCTAAATCTCCCACCCAAACAACAACACAGCTTCCTATTTCTATAAGGAATGAGATGGAGGTCCTATGAAAAGAGCCTTCCACATAATCAGACCCTGATTATTCCATCGATTATGTCCGATGTTGACAGGGTCCCATGGAAAAAATAATACCTGAACTTATGGTTACAGATTATGTCCTACCGAATACACAGGGAGGGCAACCTTAATACTGGCATTTCACAACCTTTATATGCTTTACTTTTGCATCCTTAATGTCATTCTTGTAATTGTAGTTGTTTGCAGTATCAGAAAAGATGGCAAGTATCTTTTACTTACCAAGGAAAGTACCTCTCAGCTTAGAAACACATGTTCTCTTCCCTGAAATTACTATTTCTAGGAACTGGCAACGAGAGATGAGCGGTAGGTAGAGCTTTTCAGGATTCCCAGGATTAGGGTCAAACTAGTGAAACTGCACTGGGCCTGTTACAGCCCTAGCCCCTGCCCCAGGGGTGAAGCTGGTTGGGTGGCATGGCCAAGAGAAGCACGGGGAGCCGTAGGCAAACAGAGTACACAAGCTGGGCACCAAGGGGAAGGCAGGGGATGAACACTCTTGCGATAACTTCCCTGTGACGCTCGCTCATGCCGTACGGTACTTTTACTGAAAGGTTAAGGTGCTGTTACCTATTGCAGTGTACAGGTAGACACAGACAGTTACCATGGAGATGCTGCTGCATAATTACTCTTAAACGTGCTCTTAACTTACCCTGGGCGGAGTATGCCTCATATCCTTGGGAGGAATGATGATATTCATAAATAATCACTCAAGGGCACAACCACTTCTACTGAGTTTTAGAGTTTGTGTGTGCCCAGACGCAAAAGCATATAAGGGTTATGTGGGAAATGTTTCACTGACAAATTTGATCAGAGTGTCTGCTGTCAAGCCTCTTCTTTTCCGAAAACCTAGCAAAGAGAGAAGCCACAGATGCTGGTTCAGATAAGAGACATTTACCCAGGAGAACTTTTACCCCCTTCTGTCTTAATTCTACTGAATTAAACCATTTCTCTGAAGAAAGGAATCAGTGTTCCTTGTCCCCCTGCATAGCGAGTCACTTCCTCAGGTCCAACCTCCTGATAGCATAGGGTCACACGCACGATGATCTTCAGCATTTATTGCAGGAATTACACCTTCTGAATAGATGTACATAAATTCATTTGGACAAATAAAAGAAAAGCCCTCTCTGGGCACTCTAGTTTTTGTTCTGTTTGACTAAGGAACGGCATTTTGTACTAAACTGTTGGTTGTATTTTTCTCTATGCACATGCAGCTTTTCCTGAAGCATAACCTTAGCAGTTAATAGAGTGACTCCAATAGAACTGGCTGATCTCCAGAATTTCCAGGTTGTAGAAAAAAGCCTTTATAAAAGGCTTATACACGTTGTTCCTTCCTGCCTGATCTCTGCTAGGCAGTAAAGGTTCACTAGCAAAGGGGTGTTTGGACATGCATGGTGACTGAGAATAAAACTGTTGATTAGAGATACCTGGCTACTGAAATAAGTGCTACTCATTTCTACCTACAGGCACTAAATAATAACTTGCAATTGGTGGGCTACCTAGCCTTACTCATGAACTGAAAAGATTCTGGGGGGCTGTCCCAGTAATTAAACTTAGTAATTAAACTAAAACTGAGCCAGGCTTATACCAAAGGAATAAGAAGTTGAGAAAAAACCTAATTATGGCAAATTTAACTTTGGCATAACTCAGCTTGTGACTGGGTTCAATTTGGTTTGGTGTTTTTAGCAAAACTATAAAAGTAAAAGGTGATGTATTGGATTGATAGGGAAGAAACAAAGTTATCGTGTCAGGTAAAGCTATGGTTTGAACCTTATTTGCTTTGCCACTGAAACTTAATCTTACAATTTCTACTTTAAATGACAACTCTGGGGCCTTCATTCAGAGACTTGGAGAACGCCACGAAGCGACCAGGTCTGAAGGACGGAGCTGTTGACTCCAGCTGAAAACGAAAAAGCAGACATTGCCCCTACCAAACCACCAGCGCACCACCATGGTATGCTGTTCAGGACAGCCTGTTCCTCTATGTTTCATCCTGAATCCTGTAGCACGCATTTTACTGTCTCGGGGACCATCCATTGAGCTAGGTGAGCAGCAGACTTTCCCTCCCTCTGAACAGGGACTAGAGCCTAAGCATCACAGCAGCTCTAAAAAAACAAAACAGAGCCAGGCTGTCCCTAGGGACCCCAGGCTGACCCCTGGGAACCCTCTCAGATCGGCACTTGGGCCCATGGCACGTGACCAAGCAGGGTTAATGGGAATCACCAGCCACAACACGATGGTCCATCCCTCCTTCCCCTTGATAGCAGGCAGTCAACAAAAGAGCTTGGGTACCTCTTCTGGAGGAAAATCCTCCCTGGCTCCTTGGGCTCATTTGCACCAAGATGACACAGACACCTCCTCAGCAGTTCCCCCAAGCTCCACCACCAGCTGTAGGAGATTCCTCCTGGAATAAGGATGAGATAGCCTTGTATCACCTGGTGAAGACCCCTTTTGGACCCACGGGTGGAGGAAGCATTGCAAGCCACGCAACAGTTCAAGGGAAGGTTCCTTAGCTTTACAGTTTGAGAGGTTTATTTGTTTCTTTTTCATATGTAACTCCTCTAAAAGCCCATATAAAACAGCTATAAACACTGAAAAATTAAGTCTCTCGCAACCATTCATTCCCGAATTTCTAGAATACATAAAGCACAAACGAAAAAGAGAGAAAGGAGTTAAGCATTAAGAACTGGAGAAAAAGGGAGATGGAAACAGACATAAAAAAAAAGGCCCCAAACCCCATTTTCCACACAAGCTGCGACACAATCCTTAGCCTGGAGATGTTGTGGGTATACCACCTACCTGCGTGACCGATGTGTCCTAGCAGTGCACAGTGCTTTCCCAGGCTGCAGATACTTGCATGCTCACACACTCAGTCATATTTTGTGGCCTGGAAACAATAGTAATCATGATAAGAGAAATGCTTATAATATAGTGAATTAATATTGCCAGCAAACTGTTCAATATTATCTTTTTCAGCAACATTATAGAGATAGGAGAGCGCCCTAACAAAGTATGTGTGGAATATAAAAATAATAAATTAAATTACAAGTGAACAGCAACTCAATATTTTGCATGAAAAATCAATTTTTGCTCTCAGCTCTGTTATACAGCAGGCAAAAGAACGAACCAGCATATTAGCTCCTCACACTCCAAAACTGCCAAAATGGAGACCTGACGATTATTTTTCTAAGCTATTAAAGCTTCTTCCTTTTGTATTGGTTTTTATTCTGGGTTTCTCCTTTCACCCTCCACTGACTCCATGATATGGTAACTGTATAGGTGAAGTTGATAGCATTGTCTAATTTTATGTCAGTCAATATTTAGTATTGCAAGGTCTGTTTTCTATGCTTATAACTTTGCCAAACTTTAAGCATTTTGGGTGAAATTTAGCATTCCAGTTATCAGGCTCAGGCAGGCTGCAGGGTGTCTGCCATTTG